CTAACTCATTCATCATACATGAACATAAATATAATTCCTGAGTCCATCTTTAATCCTTAATAGCTTATGTACTATCAGCATAATTTTTGGCAATACATGTATATATTTATGCATCTTTGCTTAATCTATAAAACTGATGCTAATCACCAAATTGACGAGAAGTTGGTAATGTGAGGGTGTAGATCTCTGCAGATTGATTTCTTGTCATCATCCTTGTTGGATATGTCATTAAATGACATTCTGTAGGCCTCTTGAGTTGCACCAAGCAATGAAAGAATCTGTCTATGGTTCGTTAAGTGTCCATCGATGCAGTCAGGTGGCAGTTTGAGGAAACTCACTCTGTTTTGCCTTTTGGATTTTATTGTCTTCAACCAAAGCTCTCTTTTTCTAAATGTTCCAATTCCACTGAAGATAAATTCAATTTATTTTTTTTGTTAATATATGAAGTGTTTGATTCAAATAAGGAAGGTATGCGTACATGTATTTGGTGTGAAATATTTTTTATGCATTGAACAAATATAAAATTTAAGTACATAGATTGACAATTACTTTGTGAAAATTATTACTAACTTACTTTTAATGTTCGAAACTAGGGAGCCCTTGATATGTTTTTGTAAGATTCTAGCCGATAAGGCTTGACCACGTGATCTACACACACATTTGATGACCCCCTGTCGAAATGTTTGTACCCTTTTCAGAGGTAAAGTTAATTTGTGAAGGACTCGATTTGATGGCCTATAATTTATAGAAAGAAATAATATTTAGTAATAGAAGACTGGGGTTATGAAAAGAAACGTCGCATAGGAGAACAGTTGAGTAGAAACAGAACAATGAAATATGAACTTTTACATAAATTTCACATTTCAAATGAAAAATTGTTTTAGTTTGTTAGACATTTCGTATTATGTCAAGCAGTGAAAAGTACAATTTGTTTTAATATTTTCAATTTACACCAATGGTGAAAATGATTAGTAATTAACCCAAAAGTGTTTAATCTGAAATTATTCAATTTATTACAGAAAATGTTTTGGTTAATTAACACATGGTCTAAATGTACCTCGATAAAGATACTTGCTGGCTTATAATGTTACAAAGAGCTGAGCATGATCAGTGCTACATCGCTGAATGGTTCATGCCAAGAAATCTCGTCCGATTTCGACAGCGATGGAGTCAATAAAAGTGTAATTGATGCAAATCACCCATATTCCCAAAACGCCAGCAAGACAATTTACGGCAGCAGACTTCTGGGGGTGGATCCTAGGTTTTAAGCTTTCTTAGTTAAAGAAAAAATAAACTTCTACCCCAGGAAGTAGTACAAATACCCTAAAAAGTTACTGTCAAATATCTTTATTTACAAAATACGTAAAATGCCAGAGGCACTGGTACCAAAATTTATTTTTAAAAAATACTGGACTGAAGAAAATAAGAAAAAAACAATCAAAAGAAAATATTCACTTTAACATGAAAATATATACATAGCCAATCGGGTAACGTCTACCCATTCAGTTCTCGTCTCCATCTTGTTCAACCAGGAAATGATGTAAACTTCCGGATATTTGGTATTCTTTTATCTATATTTCGACGCGGTACTTCCACAACTACCCGATGTCAATTTATTTGTACTGAGAAAAAATATTTTGAAATTGAATTACGTAAAAAAAAAATTGAAAGGCAGCTTATTTCATTGAAGAATTACTTTACTATAATTAATTATAATCCACACCCCCCCCCCCCGAAAAAGACAAAGGGGGGGGGGGGCAAAGGCTTCTAAATAACTAATATTCTACCTATAATTTTAACCCAGTAAATTTTAAGATCCCTCCCTCAAAACTGCAGACATGAATTGCTTCCGCACGTCTCCCAGGGGAAGAATCACAGATTAATGTTAATTCGGCTTTTATTGAGTTTGCTATACGGAGAGAATGCTAAGGTTTTCTTGGCATGGTGAAAGATCTCAACCCCCCCTTCTATTTGTTTAAAATTCATTGCCTATGAATCAAATTCTTTTGATATGTTATGTTTAGACACAAAATGACTTATATATACCGGTAATAATTTTGATTTACTGGACCGGGCGAAATGCATGAAACCCGAAGAACAAAATAACAAACAAATAAAAGTAACACTCTCAAATATTTCTTATGAAAAAATAATAAAACTTAAAAAATAATAAGTTCTTTAAACGAGCGAAATCCAAATCATGACAAGGCCAATAATCTTTTACATGTATTCTCTGACTGATTTTTCTGACCGTGAAAGATCTCAACCCCCCCTTCTATTTGTTTAAAATTCATTGCCTATGAATCAAATTCTTTTGATATGTTATGTTTAGACACAAAATGACTTATATATACCGGTAATAATTTTGATTTACTGGACCGGGCGAAATGCATGAAACCCGAAGAACAAAATAACAAACAAATAAAAGTAACACTCTCAAATATTTCTTATGAAAAAATAATAAAACTTAAAAAATAATAAGTTCTTTAAACGAGCGAAATCCAAATCATGACAAGGCCAATAATCTTTCACATGTATTCTCTGACTGATTTTTCTGACCGTGAAAGATCTCAACCCCCCCTTCTATTTGTTTAAAATGCATTGCCTATGAATCAAATTCTTTTGATATGTTATGTTTAGACACAAAATGACTTATATATACCGGTAATAATTTTGATTTACTGGACCGGGCGAAATGCATGAAACCCGAAGAACAAAATAACAAACAAATAAAAGTAACACTCTCAAATATTTCTTATGAAAAAATAATAAAACTTAAAAAATAATAAGTTCTTTAAACGAGCGAAATCCAAATCATGACAAGGCCAATAATCTTTTACATGTATTCTCTGACTGATTTTTCTGACCGTGAAAGATCTCAACCCCCCCTTCTATTTGTTTAAAATTCATTGCCTATGAATCAAATTCTTTTGATATGTTATGTTTAGACACAAAATGACTTATATATACCGGTAATAATTTTGATTTACTGGACCGGGCGAAATGCATGAAACCCGAAGAACAAAATAACAAACAAATAAAAGTAACACTCTCAAATATTTCTTATGAAAAAATAATAAAACTTAAAAAATAATAAGTTCTTTAAACGAGCGAAATCCAAATCATGACAAGGCCAATAATCTTTTACATGTATTCTCTGACTGATTTTTCTGACCGTGAAAGATCTCAACCCCCCCTTCTATTTGTTTAAAATTCATTGCCTATGAATCAAATTCTTTTGATATGTTATGTTTAGACACAAAATGACTTATATATACCGGTAATAATTTTGATTTACTGGACCGGGCGAAATGCATGAAACCCGAAGAACAAAATAACAAACAAATAAAAGTAACACTCTCAAATATTTCTTATGAAAAAATAATAAAACTTAAAAAATAATAAGTTCTTTAAACGAGCGAAATCCAAATCATGACAAGGCCAATAATCTTTTACATGTATTCTCTGACTGATTTTTCTGACCATGCCAAGAAATCTCGTCCGATTTCGACAGCGATGGAGTCAATAAAAGTGTAATTGATGCAAATCACCCATATTCCCAAAACGCCAGCAAGACAATTTACGGCAGCAGACTTCTGGGGGTGGATCCTAGGTTTTAAGCTTTCTTAGTTAAAGAAAAAATAAACTTCTACCCCAGGAAGTAGTACAAATACCCTAAAAAGTTAAAGTCAAATATCTTTATTTACAAAATACGTAAAATGCCAGAGGCACTAGTACCAAAATTTATTTTAAAAAAAATACTGGACTGAAGAAAATAAGAAAAAAACAATCAAAAGAAAATATTCACTTTAAAATGAAAATATATACATAGCCAATCGGGTAACGTCTACCCATTCAGTACTCGTCTCCATCTTGTTCAACCAGGAAATGATGTAAACTTCCGGATATTTGGTATTCTTTTATCTATATTTCGACGCGGTACTTCCACAACTACCCGATGTCAATTTATTTGTACTGAGAAAAAATATTTTGAAATTGAATTACGTAAAAAAAAAATTGAAAGGCAGCTTATTTTATTGAAGAATTACTTTACTATAATTAATTATAATCCACCCCCACCCGAAAAAGACAAAGGGGGGGGGGGAGCAAAGGCTTCTAAATAACTAATATTCTACCTATAATTTTAACCCAGTAAATTTTAAGATCCCTCCCTCAAAACTGCAGACATTAATTGCTTCCGCACGTCTCCCAGGGGAAGAATCACAGATTAATGTTAAGGTATATCCATACTTGTGTATTTATGGGTTCAAACTTAAATTTGTCAGTATATTTTACAAGTCACACATGTAAGTGTCCAAATAATCCCAAAAAGTAGCCCTTTTCCATACTAATTCTGAAGTTCAACACTTATGTATATTTAACCCAAATGCAATTCACTCAAAACTCAGAGTAGAATTTTATTATGAATATTTCATGAATATATTTGACAATATATGAATGTATGAACCACCAATGAATGACAAATCATTTACAATTACATAAAAAATATCATTGTTATCATTAAAAATAACATATATCCATTTACATGACTTTTCATCTTCTATCCCTGTTAAAATTGGCTTTAATTTTACATATTTTTCTCGAAAGAATCTCTTATAATTTCAAATTGATGGTTTCAATCCAAAAAATGGTTTACAAATTAAGTAATATTGTATTTGAGAATCTAATTAATTGAAAAAAAATGACACCTTTCCATATTAATAAATTCAGTACAAGCATTTTTACACCCCCACCCCCACACAAAAATTCTCAAAATTTCATTACATTTTGAAGTAGGTCGTTAAAAAAGTTTCTGTGGCTCAGTTTTCTATTATAGAGACAAGGTAAATCATCTTATTTAATTCTACACCTTAAATAATGAAATATAGAGGCCCATGGCCTAAATTGCTCACCTGTGAAAAGAAAAACCTTAACACCAAGACATATACTGTTTTAACATGTGATGTTATACTATTATACTAGTCATCTACATAAACCTATCATGTATTCAGATATGTAATGAGTTTTTCAATAACTGCCTTAGACTTGGAGATTCTGGGGACTTTTGACCCTTCACATTGCTCCACAAACACATTTCTAATTCCATTAAAGGTATCACGTTTATGAATACTTCTAAGTTTGGACAAACTGAGTGAGCACTGAAGAAGTTTCTTCATTGTTTGGCTTGAAATTACTTTGTCTTTCACTAAAGGGTCAAGTGATTGCTTACATGCATAGTAATTAAGAGTAAACAGATCACTTGAAAGAAGACAGTTTGCCATCATCTTCTTATACAACCTTTGCAGGGATTGTACATCTGCCAAAGCATTATGAGCATCATATTTCAAGTCCAGAAAAGTTCTGACCAATGTTTCTTGCTTGTAGTTCTCAACTTCAGGCCTTTTCCATGTTCTCTTTGCTACCTTTAATGTGTCAATGAATCCAAACACTGTTTTATGGAAATCTGTATATAAATTATATCTAGAAAATTGGTTTATTAAGACTGGCAAATCAAAACTCTGAATGTTATGTCCCACCAGAATTGGCTTTGAAAACTTCTTGATGAAATTTAGAAACTGTGAAAGTCCTTCCTGGGGAGTAACACAACTCACGGCCTGGCCTCTGTGTTTCAGGACACCTCCAACATAAGTTAAACCTGTGGCCTCAGAAGCTCCAATACTAATTTCTGTTGTTGGGGTCATATATATACTGAATTCCTCGTCTCCAGAGGCTGCTGCTATCTGAATAATATCAGATGTCCGAGCTGAAAGAAAAGTAAAGTCAGACATTAAAGAAAGACAGAAACGTTATACTAAGTTATGGAATATCAATTAATAAATGAAATGGTTACTTCAGTATTACCTTACTCTAAGTAAATGATAAGTAACAAGTACATTAGCATATACAATGAACTTACCCAGACCAGTAGTTTCCAAGTCAAAAATAATTTCACTACCATCCTTTGGAAAAGATACTGGAGTGAGATCAATGTCCTCAAGATCTAAATCTTCTTCAATGCCAATCTTTGACTGGTATGTATCACCTGCAGACACAATGACACTTGTATGCAACAGAATAACTAATGTTTTACTCATTTTCAAAAGAGTTTTATACAACTGTGTAAGGTTACATTAAAACTGGTAATAATTACAAGTTAACATCATTGTATATACCTTCTAATACAGACTGCGTGGAGTTTTTCATTGCCCTCAAAGACTTGAGTTCCAGTCGTCGCCTTTTGGAAGTAAATAAACTCTGACGAAGGCGCTGATTTTTCAATCTTTTCTCCATCTTTTGAGCATGCTTCAGCGTAAATTGTCCAGGGGATACAGAGCATTTCTTGTTCAACTGAATATAAAATGAAATCAAAATAAGTTTCACGAAAAAAAAATGATAGATACTCTAGCAATTTTACATCATGTTAAAATTTAGTTTTATTGGTAAAGATACATAAAAACAGAGTTTTTACTTGAGAAAATAAATTTATAAATCAGAATCAAAGTGACAAGCAATAAGAACACTGGAACTGAAAGGTAACAAAAATCAATAAAATGAAATGCAATAAAATTTATTAAACTAAGAAGATAAAACACTGAGATAAATGTCATCATTCCTTTTTAAGATTGTTATACAAAAGGGAAATTTACTTAAAATTTTGTCCTGCAAGATTTCTTAACATGTATAATTGTCATTAACACTTCAATTTGAAAATCTTCTATTATTTTTAAAGTGATTTTTCATTTGTCAAATTCAACAAAAGGTTGATGAACATTGAAAGGCTTACAGTGTTTAATTACAAAAAACAAACGGTTTTGTAAAGTCAACTGTAACTTGTCAACAATATCAAATGACACTTTTCAACACTGCAACTTTAAATCACCTCTGTAATGTAGTTATGACCATCATTTTTCTGACAAACGGTAGCTGAAAGTCTAGTCTTTAGACTTTCTGAGCCTCCATAAAACCTGTTATGATTTGCAATTTCCTGATCATGTTGAGTATACATAATTTCTAGTGTACAGATTTCTTATTAGCAGCACCACTTTATACTTTAAACTATTCAAAAACTCTCCAACATAAAATTTGACTTACAATCGTTTTGGAGCTTTTGACGACACCATGTGATTAAAGTTTTCGTTGACCTGTGTTGAACGAAGAGATGCAAGCTCATCTGCCTTTGCAGCATATTTTAGGAATAGATTTTCTAAGGCATGTCGAAAATTTGGACAATTCAATGGTTTCCCAAAAGGTAAATTTCTTGGTTTGTAGTCCTTTTTTTCATTCTTGCACCATAAGCCACAACCATCATGTTCTCCTAAACAATAAAACACTTTAACATACTGAGACAGTCAATAAATAAATTTCAATTTTAAAATCATTATACAAATATACTGTACACTGCTGTACACAAATGCACATAATTTTTCCTTACCGTATAAGTGAGGGACTATATTCTGCAATCCATCAGCTATTTCTTTTGGCTTGCCCTCGTTTTGACTTACGCAATATATGAAACATTTCTCTATATGGTTGCGAACTTTTGTATTCTTCAGGATCTTGTGGTTGTTGCTCAGCTCAAACAATGCATTTGTGAACCCTTTTTTGGTGTGGTTTTTATCAGCCTGCTTGGATATGGTATTGTCAACTGTGGCTTTAAGCCGAGCAATAGTAGTGGAATCATTATCCATTACAAGCGTATCTACCTAAAACAATTTTTGAACATATTTTATGTCAGATCAATATCTTAAGAACCTTGTGGTAGCTTTATCTATAGCAACTTATATATATATATATAAATATATGCAGTGCATAAATATATTTATTTCCTATCTAGCTTGTAACACGAGCTTTGATTGGTTACAAAGTCGGGTGTAAATATCCGTGCACCCGACTTGAGCCGGGTGTACATAAAACGTGACGTCACAATGTATACATTCTCTATGATAAAAGCTAAAAATCATGTTTACAAAGCATTTTTATGGGTACAAAGGAAATAAATTCGTTATCCAGGTCCAAACCCCGGGTTGTATTCCATACACCCTTCGGCCTTCGGCCTCTGGGTGTATGGAATACAACCCGGGGTAAATCCCCGTACACCCTTGATTGAACCTGGATAACTAATAATGTACCTTTTCTCCATCGTCATAAATGCTCTGCACCATTTCACAAGCCATGGCCGGTTCCATGGCTTTTGAAGAACCGGACCAATTACGTGAACAGTTATGTTTTCGTGGACAAACTCCTTTGTCCTTTGCCGCATCACATATCCTGCATCTCTGTCCTTTAACAGCATATTTAATGCATTTCTTTGTTTTTTTTCCAAATAATGTGGCATGTCCTGCAAAACACTTACTATTGTACATCTGTTTAATTTCAAAGGAAAAGACAAAATTAAAAATATATTTAAGGTACAAGAGTTACTATCTAAGTCGTACCTGTTAGACTGTTATAAGCATGACCAGTCCCACGCTTTTGCCAGGCACCATCAAAAGAAACGGTCAGTTTTCCATCACTCCTTTAATAAAAATAATTATTATATGTTTTATTATTCAGTATCATATACATGCAATGATGCAAACATGCAAGCATTTTCAGTACCTACATTTCTAGTTCTTTATTTAACTGCTTCTTGCATGATTCATCTGCCATAAAATTAAGTTGGTGTCCGACTTCTCTCTCCCCCCTCTTAAGTGCTTTTTGGGTGATGCTTGGAATGTTCAAGGCAGCAAGAATACTGTTAATGTGTGTCTCCCCAAAACCTTCATTTATCATCCCTGCAGTTGAAGTGTTTTGGCATAATTTTTGGGACAGACATTGCTTATTTTTTATTGCATCATATATGCTATGTGTACTTGACTTGAAATTCACACATGGAGTATTAAAGGTATTTATTACAATTATGATTTTAATTTTCCATTTTTTAAAAATTCAAATACAAATTATCATACCTGCAGCTAACTTGGTATTCACATCCCAAGCCTGTCCTCCATTCTCTGTTTTATGGTTACTTCCAGTTGGAATGTCATTAACCAGGCCACATTCCGAATACGTGCACTTCACTTCTAAAATTTGCGCTAGCCCAAATTTCCTCTCACCAACAGTGTTTATCAAATGTAATGGCTGGCTACATAGCTTACACGCTTTCAGACCATCTGCTAAAGTTCCTAACTCAATAACTCGCCTTCCCGTTCGCCATCCAGGTTCTTCATCGTTAGATAAGGTTGTCACAATGTCTTCTTGTCTTGAAACATTATACACAGGGTCTTTATTTACACTACACGAGTCGTAACTGTGATCAAGTTCTGCGAATAAAATCGGCCCTAAATTCGAACTTGAACAGCAATCTGAATTCCAACGAGTGTTTCTACCTTTAGACAATGCTGTTACTTGTTTACCATGTCCCTTTTTAACAAACCATCCCTTCTTGTTTTTCGGCGCCATGCCCCGACACCATACCGGAAATATAAGTCGCTTTGTAAAAAGAGAACCCAAAATAGACGGAAACACGGAATGAATACTATGACGTCACGCGGGGATGTTTTTACTTTAATTCGGCTTTTATTGAGTTTGCTATACGGAGAGAATGCTGAGGTTTTCTTGGCATGTGGGGTGTCGGGTTGTCCGAACCGTGTAGAACACACAGCCATGAATATTGAATGATGTGTAGAAGAGCTCCCAATCGGATGATGTGCAAAATGTTCTTTGTAGAAGGTGTAGGTGATTCCGTCCCTAACTGGGTTATAAGTATGGTGTGGTCGGAATTTTCCTTGTCTTACAAATGAGAGAGAAGAAAGAAGAGTATAGTTAGTTGCACATAAAGCAAATTTTCCACCACTTTTTCGGGTGATATCTCCATCACCAAACAAAACAAATAGATTCATTCCTTATCATTTAATTATATCAAAACACAAATACTGTGAAACAAACCGTTATGCGTTTCATGATTTGTTTCTGCACTATATTCTATATTCTGAGACGTTTGATTATTCTATGACGTTTGAATATTAACATCAGTTACGTCACAGATATTTTTCTACGGGTGACAAAAAATCACCTCTATATTTCAACCAATTAAAAAGCTTTAATAATTAAAGAAAAGATAAATTATACTTTTATTTTGTTTTGTTAATTTATTTATTTTGAATATATTTATTCCCTTTTTTGTAATCAGATATTGACCTACATGTGTAGTTAAACCAAATATCAGCTACAATACCAAAGTTTATATATGTGTATGTCAATAAATTCATATAAATTGTGTTTTGTTTTTAGGTCCCCTGAGTAATGTAGTTTAACGTCTAATTGAAGCTATTGCTACGTAAACGTGTTTTTTTTTTTACTTTCAATATGTTAACGTTTATCTTCGGTAATTTCGCGCCTTATTTAAATGAATTGTTACGTCAATTTGTTTTTATTCATAATTTGAATTTACGAAATGGCTGATGAAAAGGGAAATTATCCAAGGGGGCCTGGAATATTTCAATTTTGCATGCAAGTTTTAAAAACGGTTGAAATATGTATTCAACTTATGAGGTGTAATGATTTAATTCCGTCCACTATGAAATGTAATTGTGCAAACATGATAATGGGGAAGAAAAATGACATCAGTGATGGTGAAGTATGGCTATGTAAACCTTGCTACTCAAGGAAATCCATCATCGGTGGTACAATATTCTCTGGGTATTTGATTGAGTAGAATATATTCATGAACATATGATAATATTTTGCCGCAAAAATAAGGTGTTCTACAAGAAACGTCATTTTTACTTAAATGACGTCACAATAACACGTACGCGTTATACCATACGCTGAGAAAGATAGCTGGTGTATGGGTCAGAGTTATGCCACCTGAACCGGTGCAAAATAAACCTTTTACCGGTAATCCATGCATGGCCCGAAGAATACGCCACCTCGAACAGCAAGTCCCTTGCAATATTTCCTGTTGTTCTTCAACTTGAATCTCATAAGAGAAATTGTTCGACAAACAAACAGGTAATTGTATTTTTTTTATAATTATGTCTTTTTATATGAATTTTAATTTTACTTGTTACCATGCTTTTTAAGCGCTAAGCGCAGCGCAAAGCGCTTTCTGTCAGCGTAAATCTACTTCCGTTCTGGATCCAGCGCCACTATAAGCAAGTTAGATAACTCCACTTGTTATTCTAAAAATATGCAACTGGAAATCCCCGACTCTCTTTCTGCTATTTTAATGCAATGCTGCGTTACGTGCATTTCTAAGGCAATTAGTAAAGTTTAAGATAAGAGCAGTTCTTATCATGCTCTTCTCTATACATTGTAGATCATTTAAATCATGTCGGCACACATTAATTTGGTACCATGTAGCTTACAATTGCTGCCTCTATGGCGCAATTACTTAATTATAAAAGCAGTATATTATCTATTGTGTACATGCAATATAGTGATTGAATATTCAATACCTACCCGGTACATGATTTAAAACTCAGATGGGATTTTGATACGTTTTTGAATCTCAAACTGAAAGTGAGTTATTCAATAAAAGAAATCACATAAAATTGATTTACAATGTACTACTTACATAATATGGTACGTTCTTTATATCCATATAAACTATAATTACATGTATTTTTTCTTCTAGACAATTATTTCAGGCAATGTAACTAAAACAAGCCTTTCTATTAACATCTTGCACCATGCTGAGATTTATCAGAGGAAGTTGATTTTCGCATCTAAGTATCAATTAGTAACAGACTGGAATGCATTCAAGGACGGTCTTTTTTAATTAAATACAACACTTGTGTTGTACATAATTCGAAAGGAAGGGCAGTTTGTGGCTGCACAGACATGTAGAGCATGTGGTGGATGTGTTTTCAACGAATCCACTCAAATAGTAAAACTCGGAATACATGTATTGCGCTCTAAAATTGTGCGTGTAGTGTGCAGCATATGGCGAAAAATGCTAAAACTTTAATTAACGTTCTTACATGTAGCAATGGACAGAAATGGGCTGATAAAATGTTAAGCAAACGGTGTAATACTTGAAGTAGGAACTAGGATTAAATAGTTTATGTAAAGATGTGTCTCAGCTGTGTTGTCGATTAATCTTAATGAAGACTAAATAAAATAGAATGTTGTATACCTTCATGAAGATTTATTAATACTTGAGATTAATACTGTATTTTCTTTCTTGGACTCTTGAATTATTAATTATTGAAATAGCAGAAATATTATGAGCAATAATTTTCAGTATTCCTTTTTAAGTAGCACAACAATGCCGTAGATATATTTTTCCTCTCAACATGTTTTGCATGGTAGTGAAGATCATACACACACAAGTAAAGAATGGTGAAAAGCACCAGGCGTCCGCAAAAAATACTGAAGCATTTCAAATTATTTCAACAATAGTCAAAAACACTTTTGGGGGTTTATCGTATGACGGGTTTGACGTATTTTTCATCCAAAGAAGAAAAGTATAAAAATTTTATTGCAAAAACGTATCATTTAGTAATGAGTGACACATATTGTATATCAACACAAATGTTACTGCAAATACATGTACACTATAAATCATATATTTGAAAATCAGTGATTACAGGATAGCATCAAAAGATAAATATAACATCTTTATACTAAAATGTATATTTACATATTATCTCTGACTTAAAGGGCGTTAATTCTACGGATGTTAATTTCATTTACATATGACGTAGTTACAAACGTGATGCCAATCTTCAATTTGAAAAACTTGTAAACGCAGAATGAATTTGTTATCAAATATGATCACCAGATAATTTTATCTTTCAGTGTTGCACGTAAATGTGAGGAATTTTAGCGACATTTTCAAGTGTTAACATTTTTTTTTCAAATACAATGTATACATTTTCCAGCAAAAGTATTGTCTTCCCACAAATTTTTATTAAAATAGAAAATTTGGGGTTTTTTTTATTTTTTTTTTATTTTTACTGTTTCAGAGTTTTTATTCAGCAAAAATACAAATCAAGTTTTGAGGCAATACCTCCTAAGAGGTCCTCCATATATTCCTCACCTCGGGTGCCAGGGGCCCCCTGGATTGGAAATTCAAAACATATAAAACGCATTCCAAAATCAAAACAGAAAATCTTTTTTTCTGTTTTAAGCATTTTGCCCTTAGGTATTAACAAAACTCAACAAATGACACAGTTTACAAGATATTTATTGGTGCGAATATCAAAAGTTTAATGAACGCAAACCATCGTTCACATAGCTAGATTTTACGGAGTAAATTTCCTCCCAAAAATATCACTGAAACAGTTTTCACTACCACATTACAATTTGAAAAAGGCAAAAATCTATAGGGTAAATTTCCTCTCAAGAATGACACTGATACAGTTAACATACAGTAGGCAATTCAAAAGCGACTATGTTTGATATAACAAGATTTCACGGAGTAAATTTCCTCCCAAAGAATATCACTGATACAGTATTCACTACAACAATTACAATTTAGAAATAGCAAAAATCTACAGAGTAAATTCCCTCTCTAAATTCACATTGGTGCATTGTACATTCATTATTTCAAAGCCAAAGCAACCATCGTTTACATAGCTAGATTTTACGGAGTAAATTTCCTCCCAAAGACTATCACTGAAACAGTTTTCATTACCACATTACAAATTGAAGAAGGCAAAAATCTACAGAGTAAATTTCCTCTCAAAAATGACATTGATACAGTGTAATAGACAGCTACATTTTAGGGGGTAAATTTCCTCCCAAAGAATATCATTGATACATGTACAGTGTTCACTACTAACATTACAGTTTGAAAAAAGCAAAAATCTACAGAGTAAATTTCCTCTCAAAATGACAATGAAACAGTGTAATAGACAGCAACATTTTAGGGGGTAAATTTCCTTCCAAAGAATGTCAATGATGCAGTGTTAACTACTAACATTGCAGTTTGGTAATAACAAAAAATGTACAGAGTAAACTTCCTCTCTAAATTCACATTGGTGCATTGTACATTCAGTATTTCAATGCAAAAGCAACCATCATTTACATAGCTAGATTTTACGGAGTAAATTTCCTCCCAAAGAATATCACTGATACAGTGTTCACCACTACAATTACAATTTGAAAATAGCAAAAATCTACAGGGTAAATTTCCTCTCTAAATTCACACTGTTTCATAGCACATTCAGTATTTTAAAGCCAAAGCAACGTTCGTTTACACAGCTAGATTTTACGGAGTAAATTTCCTCCCAAAGACTATCACTGATATAGTGTTCACAACTACATTACAATTTGTAAATAGCAAAAATCTAGAGAGTAAATTTCCTCTCAAAATGACATTCATACAGTAACATACAGTAGTCAATTCAGAAGCGACTATCCTTTATATAACAAAACTTTACGGAGTAAATTTCCTCCCAAAGAATTTCACTGATACAGTGTTCACTACTAACATTACAGTTTGCTATTAACAAAAAAATATAGAAAGTAAATTTCTTCTCTAAATTCACGTCGGTGCATTGTACATTCAGTATTTCAATGCCAAATCAAC